AAAGAAAAGGATATAACAAACTTTATGTCTAGTTCTTGGATACATAGAACTGCATCTATCTCCCGACCCGTTCTATGGATTGTGACACGTTGTTTTCCGTTAGGCGAGTTTTAACACTTCAAGTTGTTTGCTCTTTAAGAAATTTTTTTTTTTGGTGTGTCTTCGGGCGGAAGTCGAAAAAAAACTTATTTTGGTGGTCTGGATCTAAGTCGCTCTTCAAAATAATTGTTCTTGGATTGAAGATGAGTCCGGAAATTGCGCGAATCTTGGTCAGCCGATGCGAGGCTTGCTTTAACTGAGCACTGGAGACTGACTCTGGGAACTGTCTCTCCCGAACTAAACTCTGGAACTGATTTCTGCTCGCTGCGACTTTGCTTATATGGATGCCGACCAAAACCGGGGTGGGTTTGTCGGCGCCGGGGGGTTCCTCGATAATTCTAAATACCTATCCACTTCTTTTATTTTTGGTTAGGAATTTTCCACTTCTTTCCATTTTTGTGGGGAGTCTTCTCTTACTCTCACCTTCTCACCATACTTCAGAGGGGTGTCAACTGTCCTCCCCACTTCCTCGTAGCGGCCTCTCATACCCATCCTCTAAATGGGCGGTGGCAGCTTCCTCCTTGCGTCACGTGATCACCACTCGGCCAATGATGTCTAGCCGGGCGTGTACGATCCCGCGGGCTTTGTTTCAGGAAAAAAAATATATATCTTGCTCAAAAATAAATTATCTTTTTCTTTAATTTTTCTTTCTTTAATCGTAGTTCTCATCTGGGCTTCGTCAGTCAGATTATCGCTAATTATCAGAATGGGTGGTCTATTTGACACAACACAATCGTCCGTCGCCTCGAAAAAAAAAACATTTCCATGGTTCCAGTCACTCTTTGGTGCACATTAATGATAACATAGTTTGTTATCACAGCTAAAGATGTTCTGTCGAAAGAAAACGGTCAGTCGCCACCTCGTGTGCGGCTTTGACACAATTAATTTTTATATCTATCCAAAGCCCTGTAGTTCACCTGTTTTTTGTCAATTATCAAAATAACATTTTCAATTGGATTTTTCTTTGGCTAGTCGGTCTGTGGTTTGCCAATCAGATGTTTTCCCGCATTAGCGGTTTGTTTATGTATCCCCGATAACACAAGCTCGTCGCCAGAACACATCTGATTCCCTTATCCACTTAGAATTTTTCTGCCATTGTAATGACAGTTTTTGCCATTTGCTACTTATCAAAATATCCTTATCCATTGTCTCTGGTCGTGGGTGTTCTACTTATCATCCACGCTTTGGGTCTCGCCTCTCTTTTCCTTTCTTTCCTTCCTCTCTTTCCTTTCTTTTCTTTTTTGCCTTGGTAAATGGTGCCACAGCCATTTTCATTCCTTCAATATCTTTATTGCCATATTCACTCCTTTAATATCTGTCTATATTTCTGAGATGAGGTATTGTAATTATTTACACTATTTACATTGTTCGGATTTACATTGTTCGGACGTGTTGTCCTCATCTTTATTGCCATATTCACACCTTCAATATATGTCTATATTTCTGAGATGAGGTATTGTAATTATTTACACTATTTACATTGTTCAGTCTGTTGTCCTCATCTTTGTTGCCATATTCATTTCTTTCAATATCTGTCTATATTTCTGAGATGAGGTATTGTAATTATTTACACTATTTACATTGTTCGGACTCTTGTCCTCATATTTATTGCCATATTCATTCCTTCAATATCTGTCTATATTTCTGAGATGAGGTATTGTAATTATTTACACTATTTACATTGTTCGGACTGTTGTCCTGATCTTTATTGCCATATTCACTCCTTCAATATCTGTCTATATTTCTGAGATGAGGTATTGTAATTATTTACACTATTTACATTGTTCGTACTGTTGTCCTCATCTTTGTTGCCATATTCATTCCTTCAATATCTGTCTACATTTCTGAGATGTGGTATTGTAATTATTTACACTATTTACATTGTTCGGACTTTTGTCCTCATCTTTGTTGCCATATTCACTCCTTCAATATATGCCTATATTTTTGAAATGGGGTATTGTAATTATTTACACTATTTACATTGTTCGGACTGTTGACCTCATCTTTATTTCCATATTTACGACGTTTCGGCCGTTGTACGCTCCGGCCTTCTTCAGCTGATTGAAATTTCGAATTGGAGAATTTGACACGCAGATGACCTATCGAAAGCAAGAGTGACACGTGGGGGCAATGCGTCACCTACCTGACGAGCTTGTTTGAATGGATAGCAGAACGTGGACTGAGATGGATATTAAAAAAGACAAATGTTATTTTGAGCTATAAAGGATGGGAAATTGTGGAGAGCCATGATCAACTACGTCCTGTAGGTACAGATCAAGGGACCTTCAAAGATGACACACTTCAGTTATTCCGCGATATCTTCGTTATTCACTGCCGAAAACTACATCATGTGTTTTCCTGGCGTCGACCAAGCGTTGACAGGCTAACTTCTGGGCACACAGGATGAATATATTCGCTGACTGCTGTCAGTAGCTGAGGCCGTTGGTAGAGATGGGGTATGGGTACTGTGTGTTTATTTTAAGGGTGTCACGCAGTTCCTTTGACAGAACTACAAGCATAATATTTGTGTCTCATTAAACTCCTGCTGATAACTGGCCAACGATGCTTCGCGTTCACATGGACGTCATTCAGCATTAATAGCGTCAGCAAACACTTGAGATCTCACCTATATGATATGAATATAAGGTTTTAATCTTTGCCGAATTGGACGTAGAAGAGATGACGACTCGATTCGTGTGTCAAAGCGAGCCCGGCATGCAAAACGAGTGAAGGAAAAGAAAAAGAAATATGGCCGCCCTAATACCGTAACTTAAGAAAGACACGAACTCGGAGCTAGGAGAATTGGCCAGAGTGTTTTGACATATGCAGGTTTTTTTTTTTTTTTTTTTTTTTTTTGCGAGATCAGCTGGGCATAAAAAACACCACGCGAAAGAGAATAGACAGTCCGATCGTGATCGTGATGCTGTTTATATGGAGAGACTTTGTCAGTTGGAAAGATATTACTTAGAGCAGTATATTCCTTATCACACTCTGTTCATACCGTTTTAATAAGCATCATGTGTGACGCTCATTAGTAACCCTTTACGATAGGGTGCTGAAAAGTGTTCATCAGGTCAGCAAATATCAGACTTTTTTGTAATCTCTTTTCTGTTGGATTGATATTTTTTTTCAAACAACATTCACAAACAAATAACTTTACCGGACAACAGAAACCACATCACTTGAGGACTTTCAACATTAGTAATGGTTAAAAATACAGGTTTTTAGCCAGGACAATTCGTCTTTCACCCTTGTGAACTGGCGTTGCATAATTACAAAGGACTTTACCAGACAACAGAAATAACGACTTCAACAGCAGCAACAGCTAAAATGAATAGCACATGTAACTAAGACAGAAAAGAATATTAAAAACAAGATTTTGACATTCCACACTATTTGAAATAAAAGGTGGAAAGAAATGCTCCTCCAAACTGGAAAGAATGGTAACAGCTAGAGAATTTTAGAAATCTATTTTCCTGAAAATTAGCTGTTTCCTTATAAGGAAACATTCGGTATACAAGCAACTTTACAGATAAGCAAACATTCTGTGACATATCTAAGTTGAAAGGGCGGTAAAGAAAACTAATTTTTATCCATTGCTGATCTATTTCTAGTTTTCTTTTTTTTTTTTTTTTTTTGATAGGTTTGCATGAATAAAATGTATTGCATATGAAATCGATACGGCCATTTTAAATTGTGAACCATTTACACAGCACCGAAGTCTTTAAAAAAATAGACACAGAAATTAAAGTACTTACTCATCTATTAATGTTGTTAATAAATTAAATAGATCCCGGTAACCGTAAGTTTTATTCAAATAGATCCTTCTCTCGCACTTCTTCCCTGGATTCAGTTTATTCCCTTTCATTGACGCTATCGAGAAGGTCTGTATGAACGCTATCATTTTTGTGACACAAAATAATGCGGTGCCATGTATAGTGTGATATTTTACGAACTTGTGCTTTGTTGATTGTTGCAAAGTCTCTCCGAACGACGCCCTTCAACTGATGTGTATTCTGGTATTGTTCATATGAAACTCTCACCTTGATAAAGCAAAGCATTAAAATAGAAAATTATATTATATACGGGTGACAAGACTTTCGGACCGCCCAGTACATAATTTTCTAGTTGAATTTTTCACCTATATCACATATGATCATTTAAATTCTTGTCACCCCCATACAAAAAAGTAATTCTAAGAATAGAAGAACAAGTCATACAGTAATACAAAACACATATACTGGATTCATTATATTCACTTTTCATTGACGTTGTCATACATCAAGAAGGACTGTATGGAAACCATCATTTTTGTGGCACAAAATGATGAGGCGCCATGTCCTGTGTGAAAGCATTGAAAAAGAAAATGATATAATGTACAGGTGACAAGACTTTCGGATCACCTTGTATAATGTCAGAGACGTGAAAACTTCAAAAATAGACCCAGAATGTAAAGCAATCTGTCTTCTCTCGCATTTTACACCCGTAGAACTCTCTTCCGGCATCTTGCTTTCCTGTCAATCTCATCTGCGAGGAAATTGTCCACCATTCACGACCATATATAAGGATTGATATTACACAGCCGTCCAACGCTTTCTAACGAAATTTTCATATTTCTTAGTATTTAAATTTTTGGAAGTTTTTGGGGTTATTTAAACATCTCTACTTGTTCGAATTTTGACATCTCCAGAGTTCACAACTTGGGCTTCTTTCTTTCGTTAACAACCGAATATTTTTAGAGATAATAATGATCTACTGATACAAGTCCTACTAATTAACCCATAGCTGGGGGGGGGAAGGAGAAGAAGTGGATTTACATTTTCCAACGGCTGCAATTAGAACTTGGTTCTCTAATTTACAATTCTCAGCCATTATCCATCACACCACCCGCACATCCAAGTTTACAACAGCTGGTATTCCCAAACGGTCACCCATCTAGGGACTGACCAGACTCGATGTTGCTTAACATTGGTGATTTTATGAGAACCGGTATTTCAGCATGATATGGACGTAAGCCTTCAGAAGTTACAAGGAAGATGAAAATGAGAATAAGATATACATCAGGCATGGACAACATTTTCCGACCAGTGGGCCGCCGCCTCATATATGGCTCCTCGCATGGTGGGTCGTACTACTAAAAGGATTCAAGCTCATTTTTGGTGGAAGCTGTCTCAAATATTTTCATCACAGAAGACCATACGCGTTAGCATCTGACATAGAAACGGTGAAAGTTTGATTGTTTTGGGAGAAAAGATTCCTCAATAATTAAAAAAATAAAGTCCCGATATAATTTTATCAAAAACTAGCAGCATGGCCCGGCGTTGCCCGTGCTTGGTTCAAAAATCGTACGACTCATACAGCAATCGCTATCACTTGACTTAAAATATTTTAGCCCTTCCTTGCCTTTAAAGGAGTGCCCTTTGCCGTGCTGATGTTGCTACATGCCTTATTTCTTGCCTATCTCACACTGCAAATTTTTTCTAAGCTCTATACTAAACATTAAATCTGTTACGAAAAAAGAACTAAACAAAATGAACACAAAACGATCAGCTTTAAAAAAGGACTCGTAACTTGAAAAACCGAATTAATGAAAGAATGTTAACAACAAATACTTTTTCACACTCAACCCAGTTCTGCGAAATCAGAATCAACGTTGAGTTTAAGCAAGCGAATGAGCCAATTGGAGTAAAGTGCCATGCAGATTTAAATTTTTCCCACTTGTGATGAATGCAGTTATCGATTTTTTTGCATGCTAGTTAACATTCATGCTGTTGGCTCTCACGCTGGCAAATAGAATCTTCCAGCCTATTCGTGGCAGCCAGCTATTGGCTCTCACTCTGGCCAGTACAAAATGGCTGCAAACTACATGAAAACTGCCGTAGAAGCATGAAAAATCGATTATTTCCACTATCGATAGGAGTTGGGAAATGCAAAGTCGGTCTTGGCCTTCCCGCTAACTGTGCATGTAAATTTTGGTGCAAATGCGTCGAAAATTGCGGCCGTGCATTCGTTACACACACACACACACACACACACACACACACACACACACACACACACACACACACACACACACACACACACACACATCCTGCCTTTTATAGATAGAGATGACAGAGATTAACACACACTGTTAAATGTGATTTATTTATTATTAAATTAATAATAAATAAAATCAATTAATAATAAATATATTTAAAAATATAAAAAATAATTTTTAAATTAAAAAATATATTTCTTCTCTCGAGGAAAAGTATGTTTCTTATCCCAAAAATCTATCTATCTATCTATCTATCTATCTATCTATCTCAGTCTATTAATATCTATCTTAGTGTATTAATATCTATCTATTTCACTCTATTAATATATATCCCAGTCTGTTAATATCTATCTATCTCAATATATTAATATCTATCTATCTATCTCTGCCTATTCATATCTCTCAAGCGACACAAAGTTAAATAAGTCTGGTGACTATTAACTGACATGAGTTATCTCCCCTAAGAAAGGAAAGCGGAAGGGGAACAATTTGCCTTTATGGATTGAAAAAAGGGTTACAAGTAATTAAACATTTACAAGGGTTACAAGTAATTAAATCATTTTTTTCATATAAATTCTTATCTTGTCAAGGCACATAATCCAACGACCCTCCATTTATGATATAAATGAAATCGGTGTTAATTTCAGATCGAAATTCAGCTCAGTGCCTTGAACTACCATCGTACGTTGATAGATAGATAGATAGATAGATAGATAGATAGATAGATAGATAGATATTGATGCCACTCTATGAATATAAATACCCTGGAGCGGTGTTTTTCTGTAGATGACTCCATGGTTGGAATTTGAAGTAGGCCAGCAACAATTATGGCGCAGATCAAAGGGCCGCACATCCTCCATGAAACCAACTATCACGTGATTAACTGTTTAAATAGTCTAAACAAAAGATGTCGGGAATTAATATTTCGCAATTATATTTCTCCGACCCATATTCCAAATCATTTTTTCCGAGCGCCGAACCAACATGACGGATGCCTCACTGCCACATCTGTTGATAATTTTCCCGCAAATGAACACAATAAAAACATAGGAAAGAAAGAAAGAAAGAAAGAAAGAAAGAAAGAAGGAAAGAAAAAATGAAAGAAAGAAAGAAATGAAGAAAGAAAGAAGAAAAGAAAGAAAGAATGAAAAAAGAAAGAAAGAAAAACTAAAGAAAGAAAGAAGGAGGGAAAGAAAGAATGAAAGAAAGAAAGCAAGAAATGAAGAAAGAAAGAAATGAAGAAAGAAATGAAGAAAGAAAAGAAAGAAAGAAAGAAAGAGGAAAGAAAGAAAGAAAGAAAGAAAGAAAGAAAGAAAGAAAGAAAGAAAACTAAAGAAAGAAAAAAGGAAGGAAAGAAAAAAAGAAAGAAACAAACAAACAAATATGAAATGAAGAAAGAGATGGAAAGAAAAAAGAAAGAAAACTAAAGAAAGAAGGAAGGAAAGAAAGAAAGTAAGAAATGAAGAAAGAAAGATGGAAAGAAAGAAGGAAAGAAATGTAGAAAGAAAGAAAGAAAGAAAGAAAGAAAGAAAGAAAGAAGGAAGGAAACAAATATGAAATGAAGAAAGGAAAATGGAAAGAAAGAAAGAAAGAAAGAAATAAGGTTAGTAATGACGAAAGAAAGAAGGAAAGAAAGAAATAAAAAGAAAGAAGAAAAATAAAACAGTTGTGTAAACATCAAGAAAATATTCAACAAGTTTTGAGGCCAGTCTATGTAATCTGGCGGTAATTGTCGCAAATTTCGGGTGTCTTTTTCTTTCTTTTTTTTTCTTTTTTGAGTGAGGGTATTTAATTTTTTTTACACTTGTTTTTTTTATCTACTTTTATTTACTCATTTCATTATTGTGGTAGTTGTGGTTTACGTGGGCGCTTTTTGCTTTTTTTATATTATCTTTTATTATATGAAGTGTATGCAGGGTTTTCAGTATTATTATTTTGAAAAAGCGGTTTAAAACTGTCCTAGATGATTGAAAAGTAACTCCCTATTTTAGGTATGATGGACTCTCTCGTCTAGTAAAAACAGAGTTAGACAGGAGCGTCCATCATACATAAAATAGGGAATTAATTTTCAGTCATCCTGTAGTTCCAGTCTCTTGTTTTCATAAAAATACAGCCCGGGAGACTGTTACATAGAGAACATCCATAAAGTCTCATTACAATTTTAAAAAACCGTTGTTGACTTATTCTGTCCGCGAGACTTTAATCTAACCGAATCGTTGGGTAACCACTAATCTGGTGACAAATGGCACAGCACATGTTATATGCATATATATATATATATATATATATATATATATATATATATAGATAGATAGATAGATAGATAGATAGAAAAAGATAGAGAGATAGTGCTAATTTGAAATACTGTTTTTGAAGCTAAATTTGCTGTTTTTCAGCAGTTTGCTGATAAACGGGCATTTAAAACAGTCAGGCTTTGTGGCAGAGTGCTCAACTGAGATAGAGCGTTATTAGAATTAATATTAATTATATATATATATATATATATATATATATATATATATATATATATATATATATATAGAGAGAGAGAGAGAGAGAGAGAGAGAGATTGTTAATTTGAAATACTGTTTTTTGCTGTTTGCTGAAAAGGGCATTTAAGACAGGCAGGCAGGCTTTGTGATAAAACGTTAATCAAATTAATATTAATATTATATATATATATATATATATATATATATATATATATATATATATATATATATATTTTTTTTGAAACATGGCAAGTCCTATGGAATCACATTTTTTAAAAATAATTATAACACATATATATATATATATATATATATATATATATATATATATATATAATATTTTTGCCATGTAAACCTTCCACTTCCCTTTGGTAAATTAAGTAAAAAAAATATAGTGTATTTCCAGGCAAGCATTTAATATTCCTGAATTAGTGTAACTAAAAATATGCTTAAACAAAATATTATAATTTAATGTTTAATAGGTGTCATTTACAAAAATAAAATGATCTACATGATCTAATTTCATATATAAAACCTCAGAAGAGAAGTTTTTTATTCATTTAAGAGGAGGATATATGTCTTTTACGTCATCAAATGCGCTAAGTATTTCTACAAGTGTTAATATTTATCTATACTGTTACACAAAGTATTTATAGGTTTTTTATTCTTTTTAGGCATGCTTCAAAATGCTTGGGTTTTGGGTTTTTTTGTTTTTTGTTTTGGGGTTTGTTTTTTTACATCGGGCATCAGGGAATTACTGTCTTTCGTTTACATTCAATGAGGAAATCCCTGTTGCCAAACAGTTTAACTTGATGAGGCTTAACCGAAATCCGCAATCTGCCTTGTCAGGAATTCTAAACGATTATTTTTCGTTGTATAATTTTTACCTTTACCAGATGTATAAATTATTTTCTATTTTAGACTAAATTAAATTTCTATTTTAGACTAAACTATGCTAAAATTGTTCCAGACATAATGAAATAGAATTTACCTAGAGAGGTTCTAAATTACATGTGTGTTAGTAGTTTGAATCTATGAGAAACAAGAAAGTTTTTCATTTGAAATAAATACTGGACGTTAACAGAAAGTCGAAGAACATTTAGAAATAATAAAAATTCTACGTTGTTATTTTTTTAAAGTTTTAAATGGATCGGTTTAATATTTTATTCCTATTATTACACCGTTTTGTTATCGCTCCTCTAGATTGACAGAACTGTCGCGGCCGCCTTGGCCGCTCCCTAAAGCGGAAGAGAACAGGACATTTCAACTTTGACCTTTGAATCGTGTTCCCTATACGCTGGTAATTTCATTTTAGAGATGAGCTAATTACCTTTTAGTTCGTTGGTATTACGAACCTAGTCGTAATACAGATCTTAGCATTTTTAGACCTTAGTTTTTGCGTAGCAAATCTCAGCTCATTCTTTAGAGAGATTTTTTTCGCATTTTAGCGAGACCATGTCTGTTATTGATGTCCCTTAGCAT